AGTACTATCCATCCCAGGGAGGGAATGTAAATATTTTGAATAATAATGCAATCTATCTGGGCTGGGATCCAGGCAGCAATTATGGCGTATTCTAAGCAAGAGTACAGCAGTGACGTTGGCAGATAGGATTGAAGGGTTTTGGGTGCTTGTCAGACTCTGTGCAAATGGAGATTGTCCCTGTGATGATAGAATTAGAAGGCTCAGTTGGGTGTTGGTTGACTCAACCTCAGTAGTCAGGCATGTCAGAGAGCTACTCAGAATCACAGGAGGAAACAATCCTGAATGCTAGAGAAACTGGACACCATAGTCATGTTACAAAGGGAGGCTCCTCCCCAGGACTGGGGACATTTGGAAAGATGCCCATGGAAGTATTGGGAGTGGTTACTATCAATGGGAAGAGGTAGCTTCAACACGTGGTTGTTAACATGTGGGTTGGTGTGTGAAACAGAGACCGTAACAACTAGAGTCATTCTGGACATTTTAAAGAGACGAGACAGTAATGGGACGTATTTGGTACTGATAGGAGACATTCAAATTGGGAAATATTAGGGCCAGCAGGTGGCATGGTGGTTAAGGCGCTGGATCCCACAAAGCCAACTCCATGTGTGAGTCCCAGACCCGGCAATTTGAGAAATACTCTGTATACATGTGCATGCATGCCCAAAATCCTGAGAGGAGAATGGAGGAGAAGGAGAAGGGATCGCAGCATGGCCATCCTCCCTGGGAGGTGATTTCTTACTTTCTCTCTCCAGCAAGCACATGGGTCCTATAGCAAAAATCTAAAAAAAAAAAAAAAAAGGGGGGGGGATATCCATGTCTCCACTCTCAAACTTAGAAAATTAAACACTGCAGAATTTATATTGACAGTATAATTTCATTTACTTAAGAGTCCTGTCTTATATTTATGATACAGGAGTCATAGATAACATTTTCTCACTTCGTTTTTTTCAAACTTCTGTATCTATGCGAAGTCTGTTGTAGGTAAAGTCGTTTTTCCTTTCGCCTTCCCCCTTCTTTATTTACTTTTAACTTTCTTTTTGGCGGTTTTATTTTTCACCACTGGTGTAATCCAGTTTCTATGAACTCGCGTGCTTTATGATCTGACGCACTCTGGCCTGAGAAAAGAAATCGGGTAGGGAAGGAGCGATAGCGTGAGGGTTTCTGTCTGAGATATAACTTTAATATGTTATCACTTGTGAGTCTGAGGAACACTAATAACCTTATACATTTAAGTATAGGATTTATCCTCTTAGAAAAAACACTCAGGTTAAGTCAGCATAATGCAGGTCAGTATTTATAGACTTACGGTTTTTTGTTTTTTTTTTTTGAGAGATTTTCACTGTAGGGCGCGTGCGCTCGCCAGACAGACAGAGAGAGACATAGAGACAGAAAGCGAGAAATCACCCCCCAGGGGGGATGGTCACGCCGCAATCCCTTCTCCTCCATTCTCCTCTCGGGATCTTGGGCACACACGCACACGCGCCCGGCGTGAGTTTTAAGCCACCGGGTCCGGGACGTGAACCGTGGTCGACTACGTGGGAGTCCAGCGACATAGCCATTACGCTAACTGCTGGTTCCCTAGACTTATGGGGTTTTAAAACAACCTAAACAAAGCTGTGTAAACAGTGCTCGTATAGAAATCATTTTCCTGGGATTACCTCGCCTTGAGGAGTTTTCTGGAAGTTCAACAAAGTAATACTGAATCAGGTCAATTGGGTCTTACCGTTCTCTGCTGGTAATTCTTCTCTCACCCCATCTCTTTCCAAGGATCAAGCGTCAGAAAGGCCTATTAACGCCAGCCTGCCCGTACAGTCCAGTAGGGAGCAAGCACTGCTCTGCAAACACCAAGGGAGCCACTGGCCGGCTCCTTGTAGTGCAGAGTGTGGACACTAAACCCTCACCTCAGTAACACATGCCTGGAGCTGTGGATCACAATAAACGCAACTGAAAGAACCCCTTGCTGAGGAGCAGAGCCACAAGCTGCCATGCTCAGTTTTAACTTCTTGGTAGTTACAGCCTTGATGCCTGGTAACTCCTGCTTTTGGTTTGTTTTATTTTCTGGTTCGTAAAGTCACTTCTAAAATGTTGTATATTTATAAGTACAAGTTTTCTTTTAGATTTTTTTTTTAATTTAGATTTTTTGCCATAGGGCACATGTGCTTGCTAAAAAGAGACAGAGAGGCAGCTTGCAGGAGCAGTGGATTCCCACATGGCTGACTGTGGTTTGAGTCCCGGACCTGGTGACTTCCTTTTTCACTTTCCCTCACTCTCTCTCCCAAATTAAATAATAATGTTAAAATTAAATAAAAATAATTCTTAAAAATAAATAAATAAACAGTGAAAGGGAAAGTGAGAAATCTCCCCCCCTGGGTGTGTGGCCACACCGCAGTCACTTTGGACATGCACATACATGCACCTGCCATGATTTTCAAGCCATCAGGTCCAAGATTTCAACCACAGTTGGCTATGAGGGAGTAAAGCGCCTTAACTACCACGCCACCTATTGGTATCCCTTTAGAATACTTTTCATTTGCTTGTTTAAGAAAGTTATGCACAATTCAGCTTTCGGCTTTGGAGAACCTCAGTTCTTTCTGTGGTTTTGTTTGTTCTCCGAGGGGAAAGAAAAATTTTATTTTTAGAGAGAGAGAGATGTTTTTGCTAGAGAGCACATGCACTTGCCGAAGAGACAAAAATCACCCCTGGGGAGATGGTCATGCTGCAGTCCCGTCTCCTCCCTTCTCTTCTTAGGATTTTAAGCATGCATGCACATGCGCACAGCATGAGTTTCAAGCTGCTTGGTTTGGGAACTGCAGACAACTATGTGGGAGTCCAGCAACATAACCACAAATAAATAATTTTTTAAAAACATAAGAAAACTACTGGGGCCGGCAGGTGGCGTGGTAGTTAAGGGCACTGGACTCTCATGTGGTCAACTGTAGTTCAAGTCCTGGAGGCTTGTTTTCTCGTTTTCCCTCTCTCTCTCTTTCTCTGTCTGTCCCTCTCTGGTCAAATTAAATAAAGTTAAAAAACAATAAAATTCTTTAAAAAATAAATAAGAAAACTACTGACCAATATCTCTGATGAATATAATGCAAAAATCCTCAATTGAATAATCCTGAATCCAGTCATCTTCTGAAACTCAGCCATCTTCTGTGATCAAAATCATCATCCTATCTCATCTTTTATGCTTGTATCAAACTCCAATTCAGCACAGCAAAGTAGAATTGCTTTGGGTTTACTATTTATTTCATTTGTCTAATCTTGACATATTTCTTACTCTGTAAGTCAGGGAGCCATTGTGGGCTGTTTTTGCTTTGTTTTGTTTTAAGAGATTTTTGCTATAGACACGTGCACTCGCCAGAGAGACAGACAGAGACAGAAAGCAAGAAAGCACCCCAGAGGGAAGGGGGGACATGCTGTAATCTCTTCTCCTCCATTCTCCTCTCAGTATCTTGGGCATGCACGCATACACATCTGGCGTGAGGTTTAAGCCATCGTGTCCAGGACTTGAACTGTGGGTTGACTATGTGGGAGTCCAGCAACATAACCATTACGCCATCTGCTGATCTCACTTTTTTGGTTTTGTTTCACTTTCTCTCCCTCTCTCTCTCTCTCTCTCTCTCCCCAATCAGTGCACTTGCCCTCTGGTGGGGACAGGGGAGGTGGGGCCTGATGGGAGGGTGGTGGTGGATCAAGAAGCAACTCTCCATTTGGGACATCATTTGTTCCGTGTCACCTGGACACACGGAAGGGACAAACAGGAAGTAGGGGCTGGGAGTTCTGCCTCCTCTCTCTGCACACATGCCTGTTCTCTGTCTCTGTCGGCCATGTTGTGATACGGCACCAAGGTCAGCCTGATGCCAGACTCCAGGCCTTTGGACTTTCCAGTCACCAGAATCATGAGCCAAATAAACCTCTGTTCTTCACAGAGCACCCCGACTCAAGTACTTCTATTAGTAATACAGTAAAAACTACTACAGTGGGTTTGTAGTCTGAGGCATGGTAGGGCACATAAGGGTCCAGGGAGCAGCCAAGTATTCAGGCAAAGGGGAAGTAGCCTCGTTAAGGACAGAGAAATGACTATTTGAGCTAGAAATGAGGGCTCAGAGGAAATAGGAAAAAAGAAAGTAGTTGAGTCCTCGTTCTTTTTCTTAAAGAAAAATGTATTTTAGTTATTATTTTCCAACTTGCTACAGGGCACACATGCTCACCAGAAAGAGAGACAGGAGGTTGGGGTGGGGGGTGGGGGGAATGAGAAAGCAAGCCACCAGGTCCAGGACTCAAACCATGGTCAGCCATGCGGGAGTCCAGTGCCTTAA